CATTTGCCGCATCAACTATTAGGTCGTACAAGTGATGTTGGTGACCTATTCGCGTGTGTCAGTGTGACGATCGCTGAGGTTTTTGCAGCAGCCGCGAAGGTATGTCGGGAAAATTGCCGACGTGCTCACACAATTTTTGTACATTTTTCCGTGTCTGCCTGTGTACGAGGGTGTGCGTGGCTACGCCCACACCGATCGGAGTAACTCAGAGTCGAGAATTTATTTTGTGCATGTAGAGAAAGGAACGAGAAAGGGTAAAGAGGATGCAAAAGTGGTAATAAGAGGCACGAGGTGCGAAAGGAACGGAGTAACGGGAGCACGGGGTGAGGAAAACAAACGAGGAGTCGGAGGAGACTACAATGAGGGCATCGACGCTGCTGCTGCTGCTGGAACAGCGTCTGTTTTCACAGCGGGCGGTGGCGAGGGGGGGTTCAGAGTGGGAGTGGCCACACAAAGCACGCGATTTAGGGGAATCTTGAGCTGATTGAGAATAAACTCCTTTAAAAAAGTATTTTTTTTTAAAACAACGGTTTTATTAACAACTTCGTTTAACTCACGGTCGAGAAGTACGTCAATGATGCGGCGTCTGCTCCCACATCAACGCTGACCTGAACTCATTGATGACTTCCTTATCTCGTTCACACGGAGCAGGCGATTCGATAATAAGGCGTCCATACAAAATGTAAATTGCTTTAAAGTAGCGAATTAATTGATTAATTGATTTTGATACAGGCAATGCATTGTCACCGGATCCGAGCACGTGTGTAACATTTGGAATTGATTTGACAACAGGAAGTAGACTAAACTAACTTTCGATTACAGGATTTGACGACGACTAACACAGGAGTCGAGTTAAGTAAAAACCGTCGAAAAATAACACATGGAAGCCACAGGAAGGAGGAGGAGAGAGGCTTGACGAGGGTATCACACAAGAGATTGACGCCAGAACGATGTGCGGCCACTGCTTCCGGCAAATCGCCCGAAGGTGCTGGATGTGATTTACCAGCGGAACATCGCGGTACTCAAATTCTAAACGTTGTGGATTCACTCTTCAAACACACCGGTGGGCTGAAGAGGTAACTAATTGGCGTTTTGTTAACGTGACACATTTTTTTTACTCTGATTGGCCGTGTCGGGTGGTGGAGGCTTGCTACGTAACATTTATAAATAACGCGATCTGACCCGAAAACCTTTATCATGATTGAAACTGGTCGCGAAAGCCTGCTACGTGTTAAACTACTTGGGCTCACTGCCACAAGGCGGACAGGAAAGTAGAAACACACGAGGAAAATGTGTAGTGGACACCGACGTGCCATCTGCCCAAGGATCGTGACGATGACGACGATGAGCTGATTCACGTACACGGAGATGTGTGTGCCGACGAGTGGTCCGCATTGTGTTCACGTGCACACGTTCATGCACGAAATGCCGTGGAGCCGTCACTCTTCACTGATGATGGGCGTAGCCTCCCCACGCCGTGCGCGTCGTCGGTGAGGGCGAAGAAACATAGACGCGGAAGCATAGAAGTCCAGTACAACAATTGAGGTTTTGCTGCACTTTCCTTTCATTTGTTCACAAGCATGGGTCGCCGTGACAAGCACCACCCGGGCTCAACGACGCTCAGCGTCCGCGATGTGACGATACGGGGCACATTCCGCGGGTCATTTATTCTACCGATGATATCCATATCGATCAATCGGTCTCGCAACCTATCCGTCAATACAGATGTCTATCGATATCAATTCGGTCTGTCGACGAGTGTCTGTCCTGCTCATTTTCTTCTTCTTCTCCTTCCCTCCGGCTGATGTGGCTGAAAGATCAACAACGACAATTTAACATTCAGGTGGTCACGCATCATCGCTGCGATGTCTCTTTCGTATTTGCGGATCGAACATTGCGACGCCACGCGGTGTACGGTCTCTGTTCTGGATGGCCACAGTCGCACGCTCCTGGAGAGTTTTTTTTGCATTTTTCCAATTTGTACATTTAGGGAATCCGCATCTCCTGCCACGGTTTGTGCAGTGAACGCGGTTCAGGGGAGACTCGTGAGCTGCGAGCAAGATCAAACCCAGGGATATCGCGTCTCCACGTGGCGCGCGGGTACACGTGTCGCGTTGACCTCATGACCCGCTGCGCACGCTGATGGCCATTCTGCCCCCCCAAACTCCAACACCCTCTACCACTCCAACACAGCCCCCCTCCTCTACCACTCCAACACAGCCCCCCCCCCTCTACCACTCCAACACAGCCCCCCCCCCTCTACTACACCACCACAGCCCCCCCCCTCTGTGTGGCGTGTGTGGTGTGTGTGGTGTGTGTGGTGTGTGTGTTGCGTGTGTGGTGTGTGTGTGGCGTGTGTGGTGTGTGTGGTGTGTGTTGTGTGTGTGGTGTGTGTGTGGCGTGTGTGGTGTGTGTGTGTGTGTTGTGTGTGTGGTGTGTGTGTGGCGTGTGTGGTGTGTGTGGTGTGTGTGTGTGGTGTGTGTGTGGTGTGGTGTGTGTGGTGTGTGTGGTGTGTGTGTGTGGTGTGTGTGTTGTGTGTGTGGTGTGTGTGTGGTGTGTGGTGTGTGGTGTGTGTGTGTGGTGTGTGTGGTGTGTGGTGTGTGTGTGTTGCGTGTGTGGTGTGTGTGTGGCGTGTGTGGGGTGTGTGGTGTGTGTGTGTGTTGCGTGTGTGGTGTGTGTGTGGCGTGTGTGGTGTGTGTGGTGTGTGTGTGTTGCGTGTGTGGTGTGTGTGTGGCGTGTGTGGTGTGTGTGTGTGGTGTGTGTGTGGCGTGTGTGGTGTGTGTGGTGTGTGTGTGTGGTGTGTGGTGTGTGTGTGGTGTGTGTGTGTGTTGTGTGTGTGGTGTGTGTGGTGTGTGTGCTGTGTGTGTGGTGTGTTTGTGGTGTGTGGTGTGTGTGTGGCGTGTGTGGTGTGTGTGGTGTGTTGTGTGTGTGGTGTGTGTGTGGTGTGTGTGGTGTGTGTGTTGCGTGTGTGGTGTGTGTGTTACGTGTGTGGTGTGTGTGTGTGTGTTGTGTGTGTGGTGTGTGTGGTGTGTGTGTTGTGTGTGTGGTGTGTGTGTGGTGTGTGGTGTGTGTGATGTGTGTGGCGTGTATGGTGTATGTGGTGTGTGGCGCGTGTGGTGTGTGGTGTGTGCTGTAGCGTGGTGTGTGTGGTGTGTGTGGTATGTGTGGTGTGTGGTGTGTGTTATGTCTGTGTGTGTGTGTTATATCGGTGTGTGTGTTATATCGGTGTGTGTGTGTCGGTGTGTGTGTTATATCGTGTGTGTGTTATATCGGTTTGTGTGTTATATCGGTGTCTGTGTGTCGGTGTGTGTGTTAATGTCGACCGAGGCGTGGTGCTGGCCACCCACCCCCTCGTGTGCCGTGCCGGCCTTCATTGGTGCTCGCTAACGGCACCTGCCCCAACAGTCTGTTCAAGCTATACGGGGGATCTTTGCCTTTGTGTGTGTCGGCGTGTGTGTGTGGGGAGTGGTGGTACAGCGGTTAGCGCGCTGGGTTACGAACCCGGAAAACCCGAGTTCGATTCCCCGATCACGCCCAACACCAGCGACGATTATCTGAACGAGGTCCGGGGCCTCCCCTAGGTCGACTCAGCCTAAATTGGGTACCGGGTGAGGTTTGTAAAAACATCATCACTGGGGAGACAAAGGCGGTTGGGCGTGGCGTTGGTCACCCAAGAGCACTTGCCCCAACAGTCTGTTACAGGCTATACGGGAGATCTCTGTATTGTCGGTGTGTGCGACCACGTGTGTACGTGTCACTGAGGAGCGATCGTGAAGTGGCAAAGCCCACAGCGGATCCGGCAACACGAGTTGGATTCCACCCCATGGTGAACATCGGTGACGACAATCTTGTCCTGGATCTCCCCTTGGTCGACTCGGCCTAAAATTAGCACTCTGTTGCGGCGTTTATACATCTGAACTGGGGAAACAAAGGCGGTTCTGGTCGCATCGCCACTCGTGCTCGCTTACGGCACTTGCCGCAGCAATCCGTGCAGGCTATATTGCGGATCTTGCACCTTTGCCCTTGCGTATGACGCGTCGACGTGATCTTTTTTTGTTGCTCTACGGATGTGCCTACGTTCCTCGGGTGAGTATCTGTGAGCGTGTAACCGTAAGTGTGCCTGTGTGTGTCTCTGTACGTTGGTGTAGCGGATAGCGCACTGCGCTAACCACGACCCCCTAATTCGATTCTCTGAAACAGGTCCTGGGCCTCCCCTAGGTCGACTTATCCTCAAAATCGAGTACCTGGCGCGGTGTGTAAACATCGCCACGAGGGAGACAAAGGCGGCCGGGCGCGGCGCTGACCACACACTCCGTCGCGTGCCTCTCCACCCTCCCTCCATAGGTGCTACTCGTTAACAGAACTTGCCCCGACATTCCGTGAAGGCTACACGGGGGAACTTTGTCCTTGTGCGTGCGCGTGACAACGGCGGAGCGCGCGCGCGAGAGAGCGCGGCGCCTGTCGCTTCTCGCTTCGCGACTTGACGCGAAGTCGTCGTCGCACACCCAGAGGCGCTCAGCGAGCTCGAGGTCTGGTCTTGCCCGAGCACGGCTCCCCTCCCTCCGGGCACATCTCGCATAGTTCCCTTCCTCCTCCTCCTCCTGCTGCCGCTGCTGCTGCTGCCTGCCTGCCAGCCAGCACAACACCTCCCACCGCTCCCCCTAACCAACCAACCAACCACCCCTCCATCATCATCATCACCACCAGCACCACACCATCACCCCCCTAGGACCACGCAGACACCCTCGTACTCCCGTTAGTCCCCACCCTGTCCATCACTCCCTCCCTCCCCCCCCTTACCACTCCCTCCCCCACCATCTCCTCTATCCACTCCACCCACCCCCCCCCCCGCGCGCGTCCTGTAAAGTGAGCAAAAGGGGGCACACTGCTGCGCGCGGAATAGCGGCTCCTCTCTCCGCGTCCTCCCGCGCGAGAAGATTCGCCGCGCTCGATTGCCCCCCCCCCCCCCCCCGAGTCTTGAAAAAGGGTCAGCGCTGCTCGCGCGACAGGTCACACGCGTGCCCCTCTCCATCCAGCGCGGCCCCTAAGCCCGAGACGAGCCATCGGGGACGCGGCTCATCCCAACGTCGACGGCAGCCCGGCCGCGTTGACCCCTCGGACACCTCGCGCCCTGGGACATCCGCGGACGCACGGAGCAGAATCATCTCCCCTTCGCTGAGTAGTGGGGGGGGAGGGGGGTGGGGAGGGGGTTTGCAAGGGGGAGGTGGTGGTGGTGTTCTAGGCTGCGTCTCCCGTCACTCCTCGGCGTACCACCACCACCACCACCCCTCCTCCTGCCCGAGCAGGGGGGCACGGTCACGCCATGCGCAGCCTACCCCTGCCCCTCGTGCTCGTCCTCTTGCTGCCGCTCGTCGCCTTCCCCGGGGGTCTCGGGGCCGCGAGGGCCTCGTCTGTGCGGCAGCGCCGGCCGTGGTGGTGGGTACACGCGCGTTCACGTACACACACACACACAGATCACCCGTATAGGCTTCAACTGACACGCACGTGCACTGACACACACACACATTCACTGACATACACACACACACACGTGCAAACATTCATGCACTAACATACATTAATTCCCCGATATATTATTGCACGCATACGCTTATGCATATCCATGCACTTACTTGTAACGATATACTTACAAATACATGCACTTACATGCATTTACTTACATACACACACGTGTACTGACATATACACGCGCGTTGACACATGCATTCATATGCACACACACACAGATCTCCGCTATAGCATTAAGATACTGTTGGGGCAAGTGCTGTCAGCGAGTACCTATGCACACACATGCACTCACACGTACATACACACACACACATGCATACACACGTACCCAAACATACGTGTAATGTTTCTATGACCAAGTTACACATGCATGCATGCATTCACTGACTTGAATGAGCACGTGCGTTCATACAAGACACGTACATTCTACTTAGCTGCACATACAAAGTGCTGTTAGCGAGCGCCTATTAAGGCCGGCACGGCACACGAGGGGGTGGTGTGAGTGACTCATGGACCTGCAGACTCATACTCATGCGCGTGCCAACACACGTGCACGTATTCGTTACCATACATACACACTTGGGTGGTTAAATCGATTTTTGCATAACCGGTAACCGTATGAAATCCCCCCTCTACCCACCCTTCGTTCACCCCGCAGTATAAAATGGGTAGACCATCTGATGACGATGGCTTGTTGTTGCGATCGAAACGTCGTGATCTATTATTTATATTTTATTTAAATTTTCCATCTACGTGACTTTTCCGAAAGAACCAAAGAGTATGAATTCCTGCAGTCACCAAAGCCTCAAATCAAGATTACACCACATATCAGCAGGTCGCGTGCGGTGGGGTAAAGTGTGGGTACGCCCACCTCTTGCCGCTAAAACTCCACTGGAAAACGGTTACCGGTTCGTGACTTTCGGAGGCGGTAATCGATTATCACAACGGTTACCGGTTTTTCACGGTTGCCGTTTTTGGAACACTATTTTACGCGCCTCATTTAACGCATTTTTTTTATTTGGTGACGCTGCTGCTGCTGCTGCTGCTGCGTTGGCAGTGGTGGACAAGCACAGCCAACAATAAGGCATTCATCAATCATAGCGACGTTTCGAGCAATGACCCTTCTTCACAGGGGTTATTGACGAATCTGTTACGCACATACATTAATGCGTGCACAAGCGTGCGCTCACACACACACACGGACGCACTTGCCACACAAAACAAAGGCAGAGATCCCCCGTATAGCCTTAACAGACTGTTCGGGCAAGTGCTGTCAGCAAGCACCTATGAAGGTCGGAACGGCACACGAAGGGCGGGGGGGTGGCCAGCACCACGCCCCACCACCTTTGTCTCCCCAGTAGCGATGTTTTTACTAATTTGAGGCTGAGTCGACCTAGAGGAGGCCCAGGACCGGTTCATATAATCGCCACCGGTGTTGGCCGTGAGCGGCAATCGAACCCGAGTCACGGGGTGCATAGCGCAGCGCGCTAACCGCTACACTACCGCTGACACACACACACACACGTCGACACACACACACACAACCTTTCCCTGCACGCACGCCGTTACTCGCTGATGCACGTGCGCACGCATCGGGTCACACAAGCAAGGACTTGCAGCAGACTCGTCGGAGACAGCGATCCAGCACAGCAGGGCCGAGCACCGAACATTCCCCATGCTGCCACACACCACCCCGCACATATTCACGAGACCACAATCGTCCCAAAAAAAAAACGCCCCTAAAAGGGACTTAGCATATCTCGTTAATAGAGCGACGTTTCTGGCAATGGGGCCTCTTCATAGCTATAGCCCTCCTTCTTAGCTATGTGCTACGATGAAGGAGCATTGCCCGAAACGTCGCTCATCGCGTACGCGTCCCCTTTCAGGGCAGTCTGAATCGACAATTGCGTGTTTTTGGTTGTTGTGCGTGTGTGTGTGTTTGTGCACCATCGCCAAAGCAGTGTCACAGGCACGCGCGCGTTCGCGTTTGCTATCCAACAGTCTCCACGAACTATATCAATGCCCCGTGTATTTTATTCAAGAACGTCCACACGGAGTCTCAAGACTCTCCCTACAGGAGGTTTTGCCATGTTTGTTTGACCCAAAACTAACGAGTGTTTTCTCACGTTCGTGCTTGCGGTCACGTGCAAGAGACAGGGGCTTTTACAAGGTTCATAGACAACATACGCCACGACAACTGACAGCCCTTTGTCAATCGACTGCTGGATGAAGGTCTCCTCTTTGTCGTGATGGCCATTTGGGCTTCTGTGACCATACCTCACCACGCTGATCTTGCGGGTTCGGTGATGTAGTGGGGGGGGGGGGGGGTGTCACGATCGGTTCAGATATCGCTCGCCACCGATACTGCACCGTGGCCGGGAATCGAACTCTATCGGCAGATTCGTAGCGCGGTGCACTGAACCACTGCGCCACCACAATCTCACCTTTACAGGTCGTTGAATCATTGAGGTTTTCGGTGCTTTTCAAGAACACCATCAACGCCGTCTGAGCTTTCATAGTCCGAGCGAAAGTCAGCCACGAACAGCTGTCTCAGCCAGCAAAGAATTCCGGAGGTACATCTCAAGGGTGGATCCTCGCTCATGGACAAGCTGCAACACGCGTGACGCACATCGCGAATATAACAATGATGACGACAACAAATATTGACGATTGCCATGACGATTATGATGACGGTGATGTTGATGATTACGATGACAATGGTGGTGGTGATGATGATGTGGATGCTCGTGCAAATGATGATGATTACGACGGTGGTGATGGTTACGGTGACCACAGTGATGACTGACGATTAATGACGATCGATTGAAGGCATTGGTCGCCATCGATGACAGCGATGATGATGATGAGCAAACGCATTAGTCGTGGCTTCGAGAGCTTCCAAGCGTGCGAGTCGCAGTGACGACTCACCACGATCTTGGCATGAGTCTGCAATGGTGGTCACGGTTAGGGTTTGAGTTGGGGTTAAGTTTAGGGTTACGGATGAGGGCTGGAACCATAGTTATGGAACGAGCTAGGGTTACGTTTAAGATCAGGGGATGAGGTTATAGCCAAAGTTTAGGGTTAGCGTTAGGGTTACATGTGAGGTTAGATTTGAGGGATGGAGCCAAAGTTATCGTTACAGTTATAGGGTTACGTTCAGCGTTAGGGGTTAGGGCTAGAGCTATGTAAAAGGGTTATGGCATATGGTTGAAGTTAGGATTAGAGCTAAAATGAGAGTTAGTTTGAGGGCTATCATTTGACTTGCGTGTGGTAGGGTTAGAATTATGATGTGGGGTTATAATTATCGGTTAAAATCCGATTTGGGGTTGAGGTAGGGTTAGGGTTATAGTCTAGATTCATAGGTAAGCTACGGATAGAGTTCCAGTTATAGGGTTATAGGTAGAATTAGGATTCACTATTTATCTACCAGGTGAAACCCACTGAGTTATGTAGCTGTTTTTTTCAGATGCGACCTGGCCACAAATGATAGCTCAAAGAAGTGGCTTATCACGTGGCAATGTATAGCAGCCAAATAATTACATGTCCCGCACGTGTTGGGGGTTGGGGTTAGGGTTATTGGTTATGGTTAGAGGTTAGGGTTTATTGGTTAGGGGTTATGGTTAAGAGCTAGGAGTTAGGGTTAGCGCTCGGGTTAAGGGGTAGGGTGCGGGGTTATATTTAGGGGTTATGGTTAGGGGCGAGGGGTGATGGCTAAGTATGGTGAATCGCGAGTCGAGCCTTGGGTGCCCTCTGCATCTCAGGTGCAGCTCACAACTTCCCCTCGACGCGACGTTCTGCTTCTGTCCAATGGCCCTGCAAGTTCATTCCCCATCCCGACTCCTCTCACTCCTGCCTTCCAATGGCGGAGCCAGGATTTTCAGGTCGGGGGGGGGGGGGGGGGGGAAACCCCTCCTGCAATGAAAAATGATAGAGGAGTTGTTAGTAAGTAAGGACTTGTCCCTTGCTTTTCATTCGACGCGTGTGGGGTGATGGCGCAGCCATCGATCGAGGGTCAAATTCGAACCGCGTTGCGTGATCGGCATTGCGCTCGCTGAAGGTGTTTGCCTTCAGGGAAGTCGTGCACTGTATACGCAACTGCGCACAATTTTGGGAGTCACCTATACCTGCTTTGCCGTTACTTATTGCCAATTATGGACTCAAGCTATTGTCCTATCATCTCCTATAGTCTCTGGCACGTAATGATATACTACCCAGTAGCAGTAGGCGTCGCAAAATGCCGATTTATTACTAATAAACCCCAATGATCCGATCGAAATTAGGGATTTCGATCGGATCATTGAGTGGGCACGTGCCACCCCCCCCCCCTGGCTCTGCCAGTGCTGCCTTCCAAACGTCTCCATCGTTCTCCCCAGCCTCCAGAGCCTGCCCGCATCCCTCGCCTGCAACAGCTCCCCATTCGTGTTCAGCCCCGCCCACGTGCTCAAGCCGACGCGCGGAGTTCACGCGCTCACGCTCTCGCACGGTGTTATGGAATCGTGGTTAGGATTTCGTTTTTTGTTTATAATTTTCTCGTGTTGTCGTCGTTGAGGTCGTTATTCGAGCGAAGGTCTTTCCCACGCCACGAGCCCGTGTTTGTCGTGGGAGTTGCTTGACCGCACATCGCCACGGCTCATCACCGCCGGTTTTGGCGGCGGGAGTTTGGGGTGACGAGAGCGGGGTCCAGCTCGGACACCACGCGCCACTGATGTCAGCCGTGTACGGGAATCTGAATTACAGCGGTGCCGAGTGCGTAGTCGACACAGTCCACACACCCTCATGCGACACCCGCTGTGACCGAATCGCCCAGCACTGTCCCCCGGCCACGTCAGAGCTCGAGTTCTTCTCGCTTGGATGGACGATCACCACGTTCGACAAGTTGCTACAGGCTGCAGGGCTACGGGCTGTGCAGCAGAGGGCAGCGCAGTGGACTCACAACTTATTCTGTCATTTCACTTCTTCCCATGCCTAATTTCCCTATGCGTTCCCAAAGCCACCAGTGACCAGTGCAGAGAAATATGGACAAATAGCTCCCCTCCCCGCCCCTTCCCACAGACCCGCATGGAGTTGAGAGGCGCTCATCCAGCAGTGGGTTGACAAAGAACCTTGCGTGTGCATCGAGGAATCACCATGCTTCATCGCACTTACCAGGGCTGATTTCGTAAAAGATGTGTTCCGGTTGGATTAACTGGCTTGAAACAAAAAAAAAACAGACATTAGTCTTTGGGAAATCATTCATCAACCGCGTCATTTATAGAAGCGCCTTGCGAATTCATCTTTTGAGAGAGTACAAACAAACAAACAAAACCCTCCCAACACGAACAGACATTTCGGGCAGAGGTTGTTACACCTCGACACCGCCCACGTGGTCGCAATGGGTGGTTGGCGATGGAGAGGCATTGCCACAATTTCGCCAAAAAAAAAGAAACATTCCACGAAAAGTGACATTTCGGGCCACGGTCTGCCCAACGCATCCCTGTGTCTGCTATGGAACTCAGATGTATGGGTGTCTGTGTGCGCTGGTGTCCATGTGTGTATGTATGAGTGCACTCTTATGTTTGTGTGCGCGCGTGTTTGTATGCATGTATATCTTGGGGGAGCGGTGGCGCGGCAGTAATCGCACTGTGCTAGAAACCAGGCGATCCGAGTTCGATTCTCGCTCACGATTGATAACAGTGGCGAATATTTGAACCTGTCCTGGGCCTCCCTGAGGTCAATTCAGTTATAAATGAGTACCTGGTGCGGTGTGCAAATGTCACCACTATGGAGACAAAGGCGACCGAGTGTGGTTCTGGCCACCCACCCGCTCGTATCCCGTGCCGGCCTTCATAGGTGCTACTCGCTTACAGCACTTGCCCCAGCAGTCTGTTAAAGGCCACACACGGAGGGACCTGCGTCTATGTCTTTGGGTCTGCGTGAGCGTCTGCATGTTATATCCGCCTCAACTCTCTGCGCGTCTGCTCATCTCTGGCCGCGCTGCGTCTCCCACCCGAAGGGGCATCGCACAGTCGGGGACTCCATCCAACCTGCTCCGAGCCCACGGAGGCCCTGCGGCCGCTGCGGAACCCACGGACTTGGCGCTCGCCCCGCTGGGCAAGCGGCAGAGGCGTCTGGTGCGGCACAACCCGGGCGTGCTGCACAGCGCCCTCGCCTCCGTGCACGCGGCGGTCCGCGAGTGCAAGTGGCAGTTCCGCCACCGGCGCTGGGACTGCCCCACCACGGGCAGCGGACCCGACATCTTCGGAAAAATCTTGCAGCGAGGTGAGCGGTGTCTGCGTGCGCGTGGTCTCCCCCCCCCACTCCCACCCCCGCACTCCCCCCCCCCACCCCCACACTCCCCCTCACTCCCACCACCCCCACACTCCTACCCACCCACCAACTGCCTTCCGACTCCCACCCCCACACTTCCCCCCACTCCCCCCCCACTCCCACCCCCGCACTCCCCCCCAACTCCCACCCCACTCCCCCGCACTCCCCCCCCCCCACTCCAACCCCCACTCCCCCCCAACTCCCACCCCACTCCCCCCCACTTTCCCCCACTCCCCCCCACTCCAACCCCCACTCTCCCCCCACCCCCCAACTCCCCCCACTCTTCCCCCTCCCACTCCCCCCACTCTTCCCCCCCCCCCCACTCCCACCCGCACTCCCCCCCAACTCCCACGCCACTCCCCCGCACCCCCCCCCACTCCCCCCACTCCAAATTCCACTACCCCCCACTCCCCCCCCTAATTCCACTCCCCCCCCCCAATCCCCCCCCCCACTCCCCCCCCCCACTTCCGACCCCCACTCCCCCCCACTCACCCCCCACTCCCCCCCCCATCACTCCACTCCCGCCCCCCACCCCCCCCCCCCCCACAGTTAGAGACGTTATTAGTTCCATTGGCATTTCTTTGTGTGTGTGGTGGAAAGTTCGCCGTTGCATGTGCGAATGTCGAACGTCACGTGGAGGGATTCCGATAGGTAGTTCTGTTACATCTGCTTCCGCAGGCTGCTGTAATGCGGAGTGACGCGCTGCTCCATGATGAGTCACGAATGGATTCATCTCCAGCACAATTTTGAATGCAGCTCAGCGGGTGGTAAATTTAGCGCTGAGGTTCGCGGCACTGCCCTATGAACCCAGCCACCTCCGTTCGATTCCCGACCACGGCTCACATCAGTGGTGATTTCTGAACCGAACCCTGGTCCACCACTCCCGTCAATAACCAACGACGGCTGAGGATGCCTCCATCCAGCAGTGGATCGGCAAAGCGGATGCACACATTGACCGTCTTCAGGTGCTTGTGTGGCGATCGAAACGTCGTGATTTATTGTGATTTTTCTGCCCACGTGACTTTACCGAAATAACCAAAGAGTAATATGGATTCCTGCCGTCACGAAAGCTTCAAATCAAGATTGACGAACGTGCTGTCATTTGCGCTCGCACACCACTGTTAACACTGAAGCAGCAGCAGCAGCAGCTGCAGCAACATCACTTAAAACACACACACACATCTATTAATCATATTATACTCCGATTTAAAGTGTTCGTGACTTGCAGGGATTCATCTTCTTGGTTCTTTCCGTAAAATCACGTAAAATGGAAATAATAAAATAATAAAAATAAAACATAATAAAATAATTCTCACGACGTTTCGGCCACAACGCAAGCAGCCGTCCTCAGGTGGAGAACAGGTCTGTCGAGAAGACAGAGTCTGAGGCTGCTGTAATGTCTGACTCTGTCTTCTCGACAGATCTGTTCTCCACCTGAGGACGGTTGCTTGCGTTGTGGCCGAAACGTCGTGAGAATTATTTAATTATGTTTTATTTTTATTATTTTATTATTTCCATTCTACGTGACTTTACCGAAAGAACCAAAAAGACATATTATACTCTTTGGTTCTTTCGGTAAAGTCACGTAGGTAGAAAAATAAAATAAAACAAAAAAATAATTACGAATTAAGAGTATGGATTCCTGCAGTCACGAAAGCTTCGAATCAAGATTAATCATATTATATTAGAAATAAAAAAGTTTTGCTGGCTTGCTGGCTGACAAGAATTCCCGAGGGGTGGGAGTGGGGGGGGGGGGGTGTTGAGACCGTCCGATTCGCAAGCTTCCCCAGCGGTGCCTCCGATACCCGGTGCCCAGCGGGTCACCTCTTGGTTTGTCTTGATTTAAACACACGCGAGGGAGGAGTACGCTGTTTCGAGGACCTCCTCGGGAGAAAATCAATACGTCGTACATGAGTGTCGGTTGCAGATGTAAATAAATAATAAATGCGTGCTCAACGCTACGGCAATCGATGCGCGCGGCGGGTGTGTGGGGGGGGGTGAAATGCGCTCAACTGTACGTGCACAACGTTGTCGCATGTGTGCACGTTCAGACTTCTTTCGCGCCGTACGTACGTAGCCAACCGACTTTCAATGGGAGGCGCGCGCTACTCGGAGGTGTGGGTGACGGCCTCCCCTATACGCCGTGCCCGCGTTCGTTACTTGGCCATACTTCACCACGCCGGTCAGTGCGTGGGAGTGACAGTGGGGGGGGGGGGCGGGGGGGGTGAGAGGAGGAGGAGGTGGGGGGGGGTGGTGGCATTGGCGTTGAGTCGGAGCGCACGCAGCGAGCGACAATTGATTGTCGCTCCACAGCCACTCTCTGCATTGCCACAAGTAAAGGCAAAGATCCCCCAGAAAGCCTCGACAGACCGCAGGGGCAAGTGCTGTTAGCGATCACCCATGAAGGCCGGCGTGGTACACGAAGGGGTTGGGTGGGCAACACCACGCCCGACCGCCTTTGTCTCCCCGCAACTCCACCCGCCCGTCCGCCCGCCCCCACCTCCTGTTCAGACTTTGCTGTGAGTCGAGGTCACCTGCCGGGGGGGGGCTCTTGAGGAGCGAACCTCCACTTCCACCGCAGCAGGGAGACGTGGTCTCGGGCTTGGGGGGGGACTGGCCGGAGGGAATCCAGGAGACAATGAAAACCATCCACTGCCCATTCAAGTCGAGCGGCGAGCGAGCTGCGACGATGAGGATGTTTCCTCTTGGTTCTTTCGGTAAAGTCACATAGAAGGGAAATAATAAAATAATAAAAATAAAACGTAATAAAATAATTCTCACGACGTTTCGGCCACAACGCAAGCAGCCGTCCTCAGGTGAAGAACAGGTCTGTCGAGGAGACAGCGTCTGAATGAAAGGATGAAAGAACCAAGAAGATGAATCCCTGCAGTCACGAAAGCTTTAAATCGACTGAGGATGTTGTCACGGCGACGGTAGCGATGAAGAATGTCGATAGTGCGATATGATTCGATGATGGCTGTGGTGTGGAGGATTATGTGTGTTGGCAATCCTACACGATCAGCGTCATGGTGTCCATCACTGCCCCCGCCCCCCCGTGTGTGTGTGTGTCAAGGAGAGCTGTGTGTGTGTGTGTGTCAAGGAGAGCTGTGTGTGTGTGTGTGTCAAGGAGAGCTGTGTGTGTGTGTGTCAGGGGGAGCTGTGTGTGTGTGTCAGGGGGAGCCGTTCAGTGTGTGTGTCAGGGGGAGCCGTGTGTGTGTGTCAAGGAGAGCTGTGTGTGTGTGTGTGTCAAGGAGAGCTGTGTGTGTGTGTGTGTCAAGGAGAGCTGTGTGTGTATGTGTCAGGGGGAGCCGTGTGTGTGTGTGTCAGGGGGAGCTGTGTGTGTGTGTGTCATGGGGAGCCGTGTGTGTGTGTGTCAAGGAGAGCCGTGTGTGTGTGTGTCAGGGAGAGCCGTGCGGTGTGTGTGTGTGTCAGGGGGAGCCGTGCGGTGTGTGTGTGTCAGGGGGAGCCGTGTGTATGTGTGTGTCAGGGAGAGTTGTGCAGTGTGTGTGTGTCAAGGGGAGCCGTGTGTGTGTGTGTGTGTCAGGGGGAGCCGTGCGGTGTGTGTGTGTGTCAGGGGGAGCCGTGCGGTGTGTGAGTGTGTCAGGGGGAGCCGTGCGATGTGTGTGTGTGTCAGGGGGAGCCGTGCAGTGTGTGTGTGTGTCAGGGGGAGCCATGTGTGTGTGTGTGTCAGGGGGAGCCGTGCGGTGTGTGAGTGTGTCAGGGGGAGCCGTGCGGTGTGTGTGTGTGTCAGGGGGAGCCGTGCGGTGTGTGTGTGTCAGGGAGAGCCGTGTGTGTGTGTCAGGGGGAGCCGTGTGTGTGTGTGTCTGTGTCTGTGGGAGCCGTGCGGTGTGTGTGTGTGTCAGGGGGAGTCGTGTGTGTGTGTCAGCCGTGCGGTGTGTGTGTGTGTGTCAGCCGTGTGTGTGTGTGTCAGGGGAAGCCGTGTGTGCGGTGTGTGTCAGCCGTGCGGTGTGTGTGTGTGTCAGCCGTGTGTGTGTGTGTCAGGGGAAGCCGTGTGTGCGGTGTGTGTGTCAGCCGTGCGGTGTGTGTGTGTGTGTCAGGGGAAGCCGTGTGTGCGGTGTGTGTGTCAGCCGTGCGGTGTGTGTGTGTCAGGGGAAGCCGTGTGTGCGGTGTGTGTGTCAGCCGTGCGGTGTGTGTGTGTGTGTCAGGGGAAGCCGTGTGTGCGGTGTGTGTGTGTCAGCCGTGCGGTGTGTGTGTGTGTGTCAGGGGAAGCCGTGTGTGCGGTGTGTGTGTCAGCCGTGCGGTGTGTGTGTGTGTGTGTGTCAGGGGAAGCCGTGTGTGCGGTGTGTGTGTCAGCCGTGCGGTGTGTGTGTCAGCCGTGCGGTGTGTGTGTGTGTGTCCGGCTATCCGGGGGAGGTAGTAGTGGGGGGGGGCGGGGGCGATGGCGAGTTTGTCTGCGCGATGCAGTGTTTGTGGCGAGCCGAGCGCCTCTCCGTCAGACACTCGAGAGGACGCGCGCTGTTTGTCGAGGCGGCAGGTGCTGAGGGTCGTGGGGCGTCTCCTCTGGTCGGCGTCTGGGCCCCGCTCCCGGCATCGGTGGCTTACTCGCGCCGCGCGCCGGACCTCGTTCCAGAGACGGCAGAGGCGGAGGAGCAGATGACGTTCGATGCGAGATGATTGATGGATGGACGGACGGAGAGAGAGAGAGCGTCGGAGGCCATAGGACTGCGAGGAGGGCTGGGTGCAGATGCTGCACTTGTCGTAAAAAAGAAGAGTATATAGAAAACAGGGGGAACATGGATATAGAGGAGGGAGAGAGGGGGTAGAGAGAAAGGGAAGAGGTAAGAAGGAGGAGAGCAGAGCGTGAAATATTTCGTGAAATTTTTTATTTAAAACATTGAAAAAAGAAAACAAAATGATGAACGAAGCAAAGTGCCGACTACACCGATCATCTTCTTGTTTCCTCTGATCGTAAAAAAGAGAGAGAGAGCGAG